CTGAGCTGGGCCTGGGACAGTGGGATTGTCTCAGGGCCCCTCAGCCCCACAGGCGGGGGGTCCGTGTGTGCACTCTGCCCCTCCTCAGCCTCTTCCTGCAGCCGGTTTGTGTCTGTGGGAGAACCTGCAGCTCAGGTCCAGCCTGACACCCCATTCTCGTCCAGCTCTGTCCTCGTCCCGCATCCCCTGAGTGTGTGCTCTCCTCCTGGGCCTCCTTGTCCTTCTCCCTGGAATGAAGGGAAGACGGCGACACCATGGGCAGCACCCTCCCTCTCCCCCAGCTCTTAGATGGCATGAACAGGTGGTGGTATCTATGCTGACTTATTAGGGGCAGTTTTCCTGCTTAAGTATCTGGGAAGTGTTCTCCAGCTTAGTTTGGGTAGAGCTCAGACTGTAGGTCCTTTAGGTTTTATCAAGTGTTTGGATTAGCTGAGGTGACATTTTAAAGGATGGTCTAATGGAATTGCTGCCTTCCCTGTTTGCATCTTGTGTGCATATTTGAAGAGTGTTTTACCTCTGAGTGCCTGGAGCCCATCGAGCTGCCCAGAGCTCGATGGCTTTGAGGTTGTGTTTTAACAGCTGCAGATTCAGTTCAGTTCAGTCGCTTAGTCATGTCCAACTCTTTGCGACCCCATGAATCGCAGCACGCTAGGCCTCCCTGTCCATCACAAACTCCTGGAGTTTACTCAAACTCATGCCCATCAAGTCGGTGATGCCATCCAGCCATCTCATCCTCTGTCGTCCCCTTCTCCTCCTGCTCCCAATCCCTCCCAGCATCAGGGTCTTTTCCAGTGAGTCAACTCTTCACATGAGGTGGCCAAAGTATTGGAGTTTCAGCTTCAGCATCAGCTCAGATTATCGTATACTCAAATCCCAGAGATGAAGAACAGTGAGAAAGACCTGTACTGTCATGCAGACAGCCCTTTGTCTCAGGCTTGGTTCTGTGCAGATTTTCTGGGCCTATTTGCTGTGTCCTTTTTGTGCACATCTGTCCTATCTCCCTTGACCAGAGACATGGCCACTGGGGCCTGCTTGGATCAGAAGGGACCTTTAGCTCTGCCACTTCAGGGTGTGCAAGGATGCTGTAGCCTGGCTGAGCCTGACCCAGGGCAGGATGGTGGCTCCTGTGAGCAAGTCCTAGATGGACCGGCACTGCCCAGGTCTGTGTGTCTGTCCATGGGGTGGAGGGCTTCAGGCTTGGGCCAGAAGCAGACCCTCAGGTTTCTTGTCCTTTTTTTTTCTCACCTCTGTCTCGCTCAGGGTCCGTTGCCACTTTGACCTTTGATGACCCCGCCAGTGAAGTGAAAGTTGCGTGTGACTCTTTGCAGCCCCATGGGCTGTATAGTCCATGGAATTCTTCAGGCCAGAATACTGGAGTGGGTAGCCTTTCCCTTCTCCAGGGGATCTTCCCAACCCAGGGATCAAACCCAGGTCTCCCGCATTGCAGGTGGATTTTTTATCAACTGAGCCACAAGGGAAGCCCAACCAGTCAGTAGTTGAGTTTTTTTTTCCCTCTGGTAAGCAGTGTGGTACGCTGCTACAAGTGCTTTGATTTGTCGAGGGTGGGACCATCCTTCACCCCTCGGTGCTGCTTACTCTGAGGGTCAAGCAGTGTGGGGCCTCAGGCGGGGCTGCTTTGACCCAGAGCCTTCGGCTGCTGTTTGGCCGTCACCCAGGTAACCGGCACGCCAAAGAGGCCAGCAGTCCATGGTGTGTGGAAGTCAGAAACGAAACTGAGGTGCTGATCCCTGATACACTGCACTTGCACTCATGTTGCTAGGTTTTTAGAAAAGGAGGTTTGACTTCTCTGTTGACTTTGGCCTCTATGCCCAGTGTGTGACCTTGTGTTGCCTGAACCTTGTGTCTCTGCAGTTGAGCTTTCATGATAGGGTTCGTCTGTGGAATGCAGTTCTTTTCTCTCCCCAGTGATTCTAGGGACACTGCGTTTCATATGAATTGTTGTGAACAAGTGGTAAACATATTCTGCAGCTTACTTAGTTAGGGTTTTGTGGGTGTTCACATTTTTAAAAAAAGTCTCTTCCTGTGGGAGTGTTTATCCATCTTGCATGCTCTATTTCCTTAGTAACTGTTGCTCTGTTATGGGAGGGACTTAACCATATATTTCAAGTGCAGTGTTGAATTGATTTATTTCCTGGTTAGTCCTGCCCTTCTTCTTGGTGTAAACAGCACATGTGTGTGTGAGTGTGTCCATGACAGGGCAATGATAGTGTGCTTGTGTAGAGGGGGCTCTTGAATGAGTCCAGGTTACTCTGTGACCTTGCATCCTGGGTAAGTTGCCTCTTTCTCTCTTTATTCTTCCTCTTCCCTCCAGGTTTTCCTAATTTGAGTGTTACCAGGGTGTTGGAGATAACCTGAGACTCAGAAGTAGCATGGGAAGAACAGTGGTTGGAAGGGTCAGAGACCAGGCGCTGATCCTGACTCCTGAGCACTCATTTCAGGGCAGTCTGTGACCTCTGTAGGGTTAGAGTCGTCCCTGCAGTTTGAGAAGGTTCAGAGCAGTGAGCTCCAGTGGGCCTGTGTGGGCGCTATGCTGTGTGGTGACCGTGGGGTGGTCACAGAGGCCCTGTCCCTTCAGAGATCAGAGCCAGAGGAGAACAGCCTATCAGCCCGGATGCCATCTCTCAGCTCCGCTCAGGGCGGCAGGCTGGTTTGTAGGGTCAGCTGAGCCTCTCTACTCTTCCTCCCAGCACCAGTGGCCTTGGTCCACTCACCCGTCGTTCAGTAGACCTCCCAGCACCAGCAGCCTTGGTCCACTCACCTGTTGTTCAGTGGACCAGCGGCCTTGGTCCACTCCTCTGTCGTTCAATGGGCTCATCCTACTGATGCCCGCCAGGCAACACCTTAGGTGCTCAAGGGAAATATCCCTGTGGGGCTTGTTGGCCCACGGAGAGATGGCTGAGCCGTCAGCACCTTGCAGGCAGCCACAACTCTTCTAGCGCCCTGAACCAGATCACCTGGCTCTGTCTGCCTTTAGCCCCAGGGGTGGGGGAGGGTCCATCTCTGAGACCAGAAGGTAAGCAGGGCCTGTAATGGTGGGAGGCATGCAGGACTGAGACGTGTTCCGCTTCTGCACCTTTTTCCTGATTTTTGACTGGTTGCTGAGTTGTGAAAATGGACATGTGGTGCCTCTGCTGACCCTGGGTCCCAGTCACCCCTGCCTTGTTTCCCAGCCCAGTGGAGACCCACCCCTCTTTCTGTGTGTTTTTAGAAAGGGCATCTTATCTGTGTTGTTAGTGGTTAGGAAGAAAACATTTTATGGCACTTACAGTTTCATTTTCACTTGAAAATGCTTATAAGGAGACTTCAAATGTATGTAGGAATATGCTCGTCATCAGTCAGTGAAGATAATCGAAATAAATGCTGTCCCTTCAGCCTGTGTTGGGAATCACACATGTCATTCCCTAAACATCCAGGCCAAGACCATCTATGCCCAAGACCTCAGGGAGTTGTTACACACCTGTCTCCATCTCTCTTTTTTGAAGAAGCAAAGTTAAGCATTAGTGACTGTGACAGACAGGAAGAGAAAAGAAAGGAAGAGTGTGTTGTTTCTTCTGTTTCAGTCCATATCAGCCTCAGTCTTTCCCACAGCAAAAAAAAAAACCTTTTTTTTTTTTTTTAAATTGAGGTAGCATGCCTTTTGCAACAAAACAGGATAGTTAAACAAAACTCCTCAATAAAGCAGCAAAAGCCTCACCACACTTGTGTTTCTCTTTGAGATCAGAAAAAGAGAACAAATACAGTCTGGTATTCCTGTGCATTGAGAGCACCCTAGACTAGAGTAAGGGTTATCAGGGTTGTAGGGCAGGCGGACTTTTCTGTTTATCTGGCAGTTCTGTTCCCTGAGGTGGACGACTCCAGTGCACATGGCACTTCAGATGCTGGTGTCGGCGTGCAGGATGCTGATAACTATGGGTATTGGTCATTCAGTATGGAATGTTTAAATTCAGAGAAGGAACATTTTCTCACATTTTTCAAGCACTCCAGACCCACCAGTTACATAAATGATTGTGAATTAAATTTTTAACCTATTCATTAAACTTGAGGACTCCTACTGGGCTGCACTTCATTAACTGAGATTATTACTGCAAGTACGTGAGGGCAATGCAGTTAAATTTCTTTTGTAATATAATTAAGGTGCTTCATTAATACATAGGCCTTCCTTCCGGTGCATCTGTATGAGTGATATTTTATTACCTTATATTTATAGCAGGAGCATTTTAACAGAGGGCTTCTTTCTGTTATGTGCTGGTTTCTTAAATTTTTTTCTTTTCTCTAGTTTGAAAAAGAGGAATAAAGTTATATTTTCTATAAATTGATTAGCATGAAGTGATAATAATGGAAAAAAAGGTTCCTTTTCTCCAATACCGGAGATTTGTATTTGGGATTCTGTTTTAAAAGTCTGGTCCTTTGGGCTTCTAACATTCTTGTTGTTGATGTTGCTTCTTATATAGTTTAACAGCATTAAAATAGCTGATAAGTACTTATAAAGTACTTTTATTATCATGTTCTATGTAATATATATTAAACAGTTTATAGGTTAAATTTGCTTTTCCTTCATATTCTTTCAATAAATTTATCACTGGCTTTTGTTTCTCCCCTGATGGTCACTTTTTGAAGCAGCTCAACCCCCATCCCTTCTGATATGCTGGCAGCAGTGGGTGTGGACCTCAGATCCATTTCCAAGACTTTGGGAACCTGCTGAGGAAATGGGTTTCTCCTCCAGGTGTCTGTGTTGGATGCGTGTGACCTTTGTCACTGTTCTTGGAGTTGCTCGGAGCCTCCGGTTTCGTTTTGTTCTGGGGACAGGACACCCTCATCCGGCTCCTCACAGTAGCGGGAGAGGTTGCCCCACTGTCCCCGCAGTGTCGTTTCAGGCATGGCTCTGGGGGTGTCTTTGTTTTCTTTCTTGGCCTCTGTGGTCTACTGAATTCAGGCTTTACAGATCATCAGGAAAGTGATCTCTTTCTTTTTAATTTCAGCAAGGGGAGAGGCAAAGCACAGAGAACTGCAGATCAGACCTTCCTGAGCCCCCCTGCCTGGAGCAGCTGAGACCTCTGGAGAATTCTGGCTGCCAGGCCCTCCCTCTGAGGTGGGAAGGCCAGTGTCCATGGGACAGCTTCCTTGCTCCTGGGTCCACCATGGCCTCCACTCTTTGACTGGACAGCTGACGTGACTAGTGCCCCCAGCGTGCGTGCTGCTGGACTGGGTGCTGTGTCAGGTACCACCTGCTCTCGGGCTGGGAGCCAGGCTGGTCAGTGTCAGATGCTCCCAGAAGCCAGACAGCAGCAGATGGCCTCAAGCAAGCTGAGATGGAGGTGACCTGAGGCCTCCTGGACGTTCCTGGGGACAGGACAGCTGAGGAGCTGGAGCCAGGCCTGCTGGGGAGCAGTATGCAGGAAGCTGGCTTTCAGGCCACGAATGCTTTCACAGGTGAGAATCCTCCATGCTGAACTGAGCATGTTATTTAACTCTTAGTAGGTAACGAGACACTGAGCAGTTGTAGGAGTTGAATGTATATCTGTGTTTAGGAGCTCAAGCCCCACAGTGTCTGGGGACTCAGGCTGCCACGGGGAATGATTTTGGCAAAACTGTGGTGTTTTATCCTTTTCTGTAGCGAGGAATTTGAAACAGCATCAGACATTTTATGATTCTGCTTTGTTGAGTCGTAGGGCACAGTGTCCCACGAGCCACTGACCCTGAAAAAAATCCATCCCTTGCAGTGCATATGTCAGGGGATCTGTCTGCCCAGAGCTGGGGAACTCGGAGGGAACAGTCACGGCCGATGAATACATTCTCCCTCTGAGCCTCACCCTCATGCAGGCGGTAGTGGGCGGCAACTCTGAGCGCTGACCTGCTCCTGTAAGGACTTGTGGACGAGCCCCTCTCCGCCCCATCTGGTCTGCACCCCTTGAAGGGAACCACTCTGTCTGGATGGTGCACAGAGCCAGGGCATGATCAGGGGTTTTTGAGTTGGGTCTTGGTTCTTTGTCTGAATCACTTAACATCCCAGGAAGCCACTAATTCTTATGGGCCTTTCACTCCTCGTTTATAAAATGGGAATCTTGAAGCTGAAGAACATCATGGAATCCAGGGAAACAGTTTTACATAAAATAGGTTTTTCCCTATTAAGGTAGGGATGGTGGGGAAATTACAAGAAGTGACTGTGTTTCTCACTCTGAGAGCCCCACAAGTTTGCAGGTTTCCCCGTTGTGTATAGCAGGCAGGTTGGGGTGTCAGGTGCCTGGAGAGAGCTTGAGGCTCGGCCCCCCTGCCTGCCCTGCTCGTGGACACTCACCAGGGTCAGCCCTGCTCCCTTTGCTGGTTTGACAGCCAACAAGGCCATGTGCAGCTCTCACAGGAGAACCACGACTGGAGCAGCCAAGCATGTGAAACATGGAGCCCCCTCCTGGGGGCCCAGCTCGGGGAGGGCCCGTGGGTGTTCAGGGCCCAGGAAGTTGAGTGTGGTGGCTGCTTCAGAGGAGCATGTGGAGCTCAGCTCTCCAGAACCCTCCTCAGCCGCCCAGCCTGGCCCGGAAAGCCGTTCTCCAATTGATCGCTGGGTAGTCAGAAGCACAGGTGACTGCCTGGTGTCTGAAGGGGCAGTGCTGTGGGTCCAGGCAGACAGGGTCAGAACCGACAAGCTACTGCTCTGGTTCCAGGACTTGCTGCTGTGGCCTGAATCATGCTTTCATATGAATATCTGTTTCCAAAAGCTCATGGCTTGGCAGTGGAAGTTGCCCAGTAGCTAAATCTTGAATTAAAAGATTTTTATCTCTAGTGACTTAAACAATTTTAACCATCTCAATGTGTTTCCCAAATAGTTTCTGGCATTGCAGGGATTTTTTTTTTCTATATAAAAAGAAGTTTATGAAATATTTTAAAGTTTTTTTTGATTTTTAAGTGAAAAACAATTTTTGGAATGCCAAATCTAGGTACTTTTTTGTAAACAGGAGTCATAAAAGTTCTCATTTATGTAAATATTCCTAACTCTTTGCAGTCATTTTTATAGCTCCTTTGTCAGTGCTGCTTATAATACATTTAATACATATAGTGAATTGAGGAAGCACTGAATATTTGTCATGACTGGGAGACTCCTGAATAACCTGAGTTTCTATTTGGTGATCTCAAAGCATGTCGATGAATGAATAGCATTAGCCAGGTAGGGACTCTAATGGCTGTGTCTCCAGGCTTTCTTGTGGAGCACTTGGGCGAAGGTGATTAAAAAAACATGCTTATCAGATTTGCAGATGATAGGAGACTAAAGGGAATTGCTGACCCTGGTGGCAGAATTGAAATTTAGAAATATAGCAATATTAAAATATAATGGGAAAGTCTCTGGTAGTTCAGTGGTTAGGACTCCACGCTGTCACTGTCGAGGGCCTGGGTACAATCACTGGTTGGGGAACTAATATCTCACAAGCAAAAAAAAAAAAGATAGAGTGAACTGGTCCCAGAATGAAGTGAAGTGAAGTCTCTCAGTTGTGTCTGACTCTTTGCGACCCCATGTACTGTAGCTTACAAGGCTCCTCTGTCCATGGAATTTTCTAGGCAAGAGAACTGGAGTGAGTTGCCATTTCCTTCTCCAAGTCCCAGAATAACACATGGCTAAGTAACAATGGTATGTCATTGTGATGAAATTCCCTGCAGCTACTACAAAGGATGTTTTAGTGTTTCACGTTCTGGAGAAATGCTTATATTTTTAAGTGAAAAAAGTCAAGTGAAAAGTCATAAAGCAATAAGAAGAAGGCGATCCTTTTATTTTGATACTCAAAGAACAAAGACAATATAGGTAGATGTGCACCAAAATGTTACTAGTGGCTACCTTCAAGTGATAGCAATACATAATGAAGTTTCCTTTCTTAGATTTACTTATCCATATCTTACAATTTTTCTTTTTTTAAAATTGAAAATATAAACATAACCCAAAATTACTGTTTCTTTGTGATAAAAAAGAACAATTATTTGTATGTGTCCAGTATAGTTTAATATTACTGCTTTATAATATTAAAAGAGTGCATCTGAGAACAAATACTAAACCCCTGGCCATTTGCTTTGTTACCAGAGGTCGATGAGGGGGTACATTACTATTTCTTTCCTTACTTAGTTGTGTGACCTTGGGTGAGTTACCTAACTTCTCTGGGCTTCAGTTTCTCTGTGAAGTCAGGAATTAATATGATGGTCACCTGTGTGATTTGATGACTCTGTACCACTGGGTTCCAACCTTCTGTAGTTGTCTTTGGTTGGAGGGTGTCTTTGTAGAAACCTCATGGTTGTGTCTTTGAAGGACCTGGAGTGTAAACAACAGACTTCAGACTGGTCCTCATAGGTTTCATCTCTACAAGAAAGGCATGGGAAGTCTGTGGCCTTAAGATGGGTTTTTCCTGTTGTGTATAGGTCCCAGAATGAAGGGAGAGTGGCAAGGCCTGGGAGGAGGACAGGGACCATTTTGGTGAAAGAGACTGGTCAGCTTCAGAGCCACATGCAGGCTATGGGCCAGGGTTTTTGTTGGTAAAGGAAAAAACTCTTCTGTTTTCTGTGTCTACACACAGCACTCACAGTGCTGGCCACCAGACATGTGGGTGTTTCCCGCACCAGGCAACTGCGATACAGCTTGATGTCCTGCAGCTTTGTTGGTTTTGACCCTTTCTGCCTGAAGTGGCCCAGACCCCGAGGCACTGCCCTCTTCAGACACGATTCCCAAGTCCAGGTGATCACCTGTGCTTCTGACCAGCTGGCTGATCATTTGGAGGTTCTTGTGGTCCCTCCTGAGATTTGGTAGACTTGCTGGAGCGGCTCACAGAACTCAGGGAAGCAGTTGAGGTATAATGTTACTGGTCAAGAAAGGCCAGGGCACAGTGGCGTAAGGAAAGGGTGTGGAGCCTGACATCCTCTCAGGCACCGTCTTCCCCAGACCTCCCATGGTCACCAGCCTGGAAGCCCTCTGACCCTGTCCTCTGGGGTGTTATGGATGTCTCACCATCCTGGCAGGAGTGGTGAGCTCACTGGCTATTGGGACTGGCTCAGTCTCCAGCCCTTCTCCCCCAACAGAGGCCTGAGGGTGGGGCTGAAAGTGCCAGCCTTCTGATCCCATGGGCGGTTCCCTTCGGGAACCGTTAGGGGCTTCCCAAAGTCACCTCATTGACCGGGGCCTTGGCATGAATAACAGAAGACCTTCATGGCTCTTACCATTTAGGAAATTCCAAGGGTTTTAGGAGCCCTGGGTCAGAAACTGTGACTGAGACCAAATATATATTTCTTATGATAAATCTCGATGTCATGGTTCCAACCCCCACCCCCATAGTTAGTGTGGCCTGGGAAATGACTTTTACTTCCTCTTTTAAGTATATTTTACTAAAAAGCCAGAGATTTAAAATTCTGTTATTTCTTGATCAGTATGCTATAGGGCCAAGACATGCTTTGAAAACTGGAATCCTTTCTTGAACATTGCAGATGTGTGATTTTGCACTGTGAACCCTTCTTGTCAGAGGTACATGCTGTGTCTCAAGCAGCTTTGCTGTCACTTTGCATCTGTGCCATTTGCTGTGTTCCTGATGCTGTGTCCAGAAGTCTGAGGGCATGGGGTGCAGTGACCTATGACCTCGGATCTGGGCTCAACCTTGGAACCCTCTCTGGCCTGGACTGCTCACCTCGAGCATCCACTGTGCCAGGTGTGGAGCTGTTCACACTGTGAGTCAGCTGTCAGAGTATGGTCCACAGGAACTATTGCTCTATAAAACTTTCTTCCCCCAAACTATGTTTAGTTGTTATTTTAAATTTGCATTTAGATTTTTAAAAAGTAATTATACAAATTCAGGTCTGGAGAAGGGCATGACAACCCACTCCAGTATTCTTGCTTGGGAATCCCATGGACAGAGGAGCCTGGCGGGCTATAGTCCATTGGGTTGCAGAGTTGGACTTGACTGTATCGACTGAGCCTGCATGCATACATATTCAGGAACTATTTTAATGTTCACTTCAATTGTAATATTTTAGAAATGCATGCAAAGAATGGAAATCATTAATATGTGGGTTATAAAAGTAATAAAAGAAAAATATAGTTTTGAGAGAAACCTGGTGAAGACATACTTTGGTTTGATATAAAAGTAGCTGTGACATGGCAGCCTCATTCATGAGGGACAGACATGCCAACCCTGATGCAAGGGGGCCCCCCGCGGAGATCACGTGGACATCATAACTGTGGCTCCCAATCTGTTTTTTTATGATAGTTACCTATTTAGCTTTGGAAAAGTTTTAGAGTTCACATCTGCACTGGTCAAATCCAGAAGTACTTCCATGATCCCAAGTCTGTTTTTTGAGGTGCTGATAGTGATTATAATATCAGATGTGTTGTTAGCTTCCGTTTGGTTGTATATATGCCATGAGTCAGACACTATATTGAGCACTGCATGTATGGCATCTGTTCAGTCTCA